GCTTAGTGGTGCGTGAACAACACATGCTGCTTTGCTTATTGGGGGGCTTGAGTTTATAATAAGGAGGAGGATGCGACGGTATGGGCGCGGTATTCTTCGGCGTACTTCGAGCAGGGAGCCAGTCGGCAAGCATGCAACAATCCTTATGACAGAGGCGTAGATGACGAGCAGGTCAAGGAAATGCGGGCTAGCAACATTTGGGAGATCAAGCACAAGGACTTCATGAAACTCATCCAGCCATCCTTCGCTTGCATTGATGAGGCAGAAGACATGGACGCTATCATCGCACGCACTCACATCATCGTCATCACAGACCATGGAATATATTGGAGACTTGCACATCCGCAACATCGAACTGTTCCGTTTGTGCAATGGCCAGAGAACGAGCCTCACGATCTCCTCATCCCGTCGCAAAAAGACATTTTCAGAAGCTACAAGAAGGATCCTTTCAAACACACTCCCCCTCCAAGTTTTCATGCCGATATGGTTTGGTCGCAAGAGGTGTTGCAGCGATTGCTTCGCGGCGAGTCGATCCCACGCACCATAACCATCCGACCAGGTAGATCTTTGTTTGGAGACATCGAACCTCAACGTGAACTTCGTCCAGAGCTCATCGGGGAAAGTGAAACGGCAGTCCGAGTCAAGAAAGAGAAAGTTAGCAACGTGTTTCAAACATTGAAACGAACAGGTCCAGTACTCATCGATTTGGATTCGCCGATACAGAAGCGGATCCGCGCAGCATGCACATCACCCACAGCTACATCCGCCAGTGCAGCAGCTCCAGCAAGCTCATCCGCAGAACCCTCACACAGCACACAGGCAGCATATCCACCGCAAAATCCAGACTTTTTACAGGCATGCGATGAAGAGCATGAGCTTGCAGAAGTCAGAGAACCAGACTCTTTGGAATTGCAGTTAGAGCACCTGATAGACCAAGAAAAACCAGAAGACATCCACAACGGAGGGGCGGGAGATGACATGGACATCGCAGAAGAATCCGATGTCGCTGCAGGGCATCACCTTTTGGGGGG